GTTGGTTGAAACCTTAGACCTGGCACCATACCTGCTTAGAAATATGTCTCGTTCACGATTATTGAACGGCCAGCTGTTTTTGTGGTATGCTCTGATGGCACGAACGAGCAGATTGGGCTTGGGTTTAGAGTTCGAGGTTGGCAGAGGTTTAAGAATGATTCCGTTGAGTTTCATGTTTGCTCTGTGCGGAGAAGTTAGAAGCTTTTGGTTGGCTTTGTCAGTGCTTCAAGGAAGGAGTTTTTGCGATTCAACCTTCATGAACTTGAGTAGTTAATTGGTTCAATGCTGGCTATACTGACCACATGACTGTTTCGACTTAGGAAGTACTGTCCCTGTCGTAAGCCGACCACATGTCTGTTATGGAATTGAAATGAAAGGTCCGACAGACATCCTATAAAGGCGCTTAAAGCGTCCAGGACAAACTTAGACCCCACCTATAGTCTCCATTGTAGTTCCTTTTGTGGGTAACCTTATCGGATCCTTATTATATAATTGGTTAAACCACAAAAAGGAATTACAATGGAGACTATAGGCAAACCCTACGACCTACAACTTGAAACACTAAATTCTTAAATGCACAAGCATCGAACAACTTGATCCCCGGAGGCCTCTATCCTTACGCGGAGGTTCCGGAGTACTTCCAGAAGCTGTTGGATCCACCGTAGAAGCAAACTTGCTTCTCAAAGTAACACTGCGAGATTGTTTTGATCTGCGTAGAACTAACTTTGCTTTTCAAAGTCACGCATAGGGAGTTTTTCGATCTGCGCCGCTTCATTAATGCTTGCGGGCGTCCTGAAACTACTACCCAGTTATATAACCCTGCAAAGGGCCCGATGCTACCAGTGAAGCGCCACCAACTCAAGGATGCTGTTTGAAGCCTCCCATAAGCCTTAAACCCTAAACTTCCTAAACCCTAAACCCTAAACTTCCTAAACCCCAAACCCTAAACCCCAAGCCCTAAAGCCCTGAGGCGCTGATAAGCCTTGAGCCCCGAAAAAAGATCCGAGAAAACCTCCACCCTGAAGCCGAGGCACCTTTCCTTCGACAGAAAGAAGGAGCTCGAGGCTGCACGTTGCTTCTTGGGGGCTTGAGGTGGGCAGGGGACTTAGTAAGTAGGTTATAAGTAGGGTTGTAATTGGGGTAACTCCATTTAGGGTACTTATAACTCTACTTATATAAGTCCCCTGCCCTCCAAGTAGGGGACCCTAATCTAGTACCCGAAGTAGTAGGATCCTCATTTTAAGGACCCCCAAAAAAGGTGCCCCTAATTTTCGGAAACTCCCATATAGGAGTCCTTGCGAGCTGGAATGCCACTTGTGTATGTATGTGGGTGGTTGTCAAAGTTATGGTCCCTTTTTGGGTCCCTAATATGGCACGGCACCTAATATTTAGGGTGCCCAACAAGGGACCATAGTTTTGACAGCCACCCATGTAGGAATGTATGAATGTATGTACTTCTAGAATGAACGGTCTTGGGTGTCAGGGCTGTAAGGTTTATAGGGTTTCAGGGTATCAGGGCTGTACGAGTTTAGGATTTGGACGTGTCAGCACCCCACAGGCCCGACCCATAATGTAAGGGCCTTAGTACTTATTAATTATAGTTATCGTATAATGTACCCCCAAACCCTATTCTAATTATGAAGGCCCCTACATTATCTGGGCCCTTTGAAGGATCCCAGAGTCAGTGATGCAAAACTCGGCAACAGGAGGTTTAGGGTTTAGGTTTGGGGTTTGGGGTTAAGGGGAGGCAACAACAATGCTGATCAAGACAGATTATGGCTATTATTATAGCAGCAACATCAGCACCTGGAATTGCTGCTAAAAATCGAACAAGTGTTTCCCAAGCCTGAGCCCTAAAACATTTTGGATCAATTGGGCAGCGGCCCGCTGTCAGGCCATTGTGGACCTCTTAGCATCACCAGGCTCGAGATGACTGCAAGGGGCTTTGGGGTGGCGCGGGTTTTGGGTTTCACGACCGTCGGGCAAAGGCTTGAGGGTTTAAGATTCCAGGTTGTTGAGGATTTAGGGGTTTTAGGGTCGGGTGTGGTGTGCGTAGGCAGGTCTGGGAAGGCTAACCCCTACTCTGACCTCTCTGAGCGTAGCAGGCACCAGTATCGGGGGGCTGGAATAACTACGGATGCTAGGGTTGCTTAATTAATTTATGTAAATAGGCCACTATGTCATCGCAGAGTTTGGGATTGGGAGGTCTGCATGGTCTGATGTGTCGAGGGTTTTAGTTTGGGTTTAGGGTTTAGGGCCATTGCGGCTTGTTTAGGGTTTAAGCAAGCTTAGGCTTTAGCTCGGGAATTTAGCACAGTGCGCCCCGCCGCCCCTCCTTCTGCCCGCCCCCGGATTTAATCGTTCTTTTCTGCGGGCTTGTTGCAGGTCTTGAAGCCCCGATAGTACCCAGAGACTCCAACATCCCTTAATTAAGGAACATTCCTTAAATCATATTAGGGATCCTACTATAATTTAAGGCATATTCCTTAATTAAGGGATATTGGAGTCTCTGGGTAGTGGACAAGCAACGCAACGACCCGAACCGCAGGTAAGGGCATAACCGCCACAGACGAGGCCGGATGGGGTGAGAAGGGAGGGCGGCCAGAGGCCGCGTTTAACTGGGTAGGCCTTTGGGACATTTTATGTTTTCCCTTATTGGGCTTAATAGGACCCTATGTATGAATATTTTTCAGAGGCTTTGAAGGGCCAACCTAGTTAAGGATTTTTGTTCTAATTAAAGGGTTTAGGGTTTACGGTGTGGGGGTTTGGGGTTTCGGGTTTAGGGCTTGGGGTTTAGGGGGTTCCTTTACCGGCTCCTTCAGGTGTCTCACCGGTATCCTTCGATTTCAACGTTCTAGAAACCCTGAAGCCATCTAACATGAAAAGACACCTCCTTAAACACCAAGCCGACAATCCAGCTAAACCCTTACCTTCGTAGAGCAAGAGCCCTTAACCACAAACCCTAAACCCCAAACCCTAAACCCCTAAAGCCCAACCCCCGTAAACCCTGACGAAGCCGTAACTACGAAGGCCCGTTGCCTCCAAGATGTGGAGCACTGATACACTAGAGTGCGGGATTGCACACGTGGCTGAGGAAGCCGATCTTGCTAACTTGGAAGAAGTGAAGAACATGTGCTGCAACGCGAACTGGAGGATGAGCACAGCTTCATGCCAAAGCTTTGGGCTTCCAGATTCTCAGTCCCTGAGTCCCGGAGTCCCAGACTCCGACTCACAAGTGTTTTTCCCCGCGATGGGGGCAGTCGGCTCGACGTTCGTCATGGAGGTGACCAGCGGAGGGACCCTCACATGCTTCCAGCGAGCGATCCCAGGATTCCAACACAGATCCTTCCTGAGGTCGCCTCAAATCCGAAGTTCAACTTAAACCCTGAAGACTATCCTTCGGTCCGATACTCTCCATCGCAGTTCCATGTTTGGGCTAACCAAATTTACTCTTAGGATCCTGCACTGTAAATGGCTTAACCAAAAAAACGAACCACAACGGAGACTATAGGTGGTAGGATATTCCTAGTTTTATCCCTACGGTTACCTTTGTGCCCCTTTCGGATACTGGCCAGGTCAGTGCAGTAGCGCAAAACAAAGCTAAAAACCCCTGGCACCAAACCAAAAGAGCTGAAATCCAGGATTTCGAAGCGCCACACCCAGCCTTGAAATTTGAAACGCATGCCCTAAACCCCAAACCTCGCACGCTATATACATCCCGATTCCAATCCGGTGCTCAAAGAACACAACCTGCACCCAAATAAAACCACACTTCTTATAACCCATCCACAACCCGGCGCCCCAAGCCGTAATGTACACCTATATACAACCTGGCCCGAAATCCCTATAAACTGTAGACTTGGAATCGAAAGCAGGTAGAGCCCTCATAGTCGAGAACCCGAAACCCTCAACCCTTAAACCCCTATAACCTCAACCCCTAAACCCCGAACGAAGCCCTCATGCAAAAGCCTAAAGCGCAGCACCGCTATGCAGGGCCCCGGAACCATCGGTGCTCGGTTCGAGGCCGTGGGCGTCGAGAACACCGAGGAGAACAGGCTTCTTCCTAAACCCAACATAGCTACTTAGACCCCCAATGGCCCTTTAATAAAGCCTTATAATACTGGGTCTTTGGGGTATAATAGACGGTAGTTGCGGGGTCTAGGCACGGTTTCGGCTTTAAAAGAGTTTAGGGGTTTAGGGGTTTAGAATTTAGGGTTTAGGGGTTTAGCATTTAGCCTTTAGTATTTGGGGTTTAGGGTTTAGGGTCCGAAACTTGGAGAGGTAGGGGACTTAGTAAGTTGGTTATAAGTAGGGTTATAATTGTGGTAACTCAATTTAGTGTACTTATAACTCTACTTATAACCTACTTACTAAGTCCCCTGCCCTTTCAAGAACCCATCCTTTAAACTTCTAGGACCCAGAGTAGGCCCTTATTCCCTTTTTAAGGGTTTAGGTTCCCTTATAACCCCCTTTATCCCAAAAAGGGCACCCTTTTTATTCCTAGGTTACTCTTGGGTCTAGACTTTGGTCAAGCACTTCGCTTTGCATGCTGGCTAACCCTGGGTGCCTCCAACCTGTCATGGTGCTCGCTCGCCCCTCTCTTTTTGCGCCCCATCGCACCGTGCTCACACAGCTCTGCCCGAAAAACTCCACATGTGATGATCTGCCTGAGTGCTTTGCTGTGCCCTTGTGCTTAAATTCGTCAGACATCACATGTGCTACTTCTTTTTCTGCCGTTTGGCAGCTCGGCCACCAGCGGTAGCCCGAGAGAGCCACGACCAAACTATGTAGTAAGCTTGTGCTCGCGATCTTTGGTTCGCCGGGATGCTCTTCAGTGTGGATTTGCGCTTATCCAGTGTGGTCGGATTGATAGCCGGGTTGAAAGAAGCTGCATGCGATGATCTTGGATGGGGAATCCGGTCTATGTTCTCAGTGGGCGAAACCGCTATTGAATCGACCTGCAAACACCAAAGAAAAGCTATGATGAAGTGAAATTCAAGTCACTTGCCCTCGAAGCATTGACTGTGCAAGAGCCTTCCTTGAAAGTGAGGCAAAGTCGCATCCACATGAACAGTTTGATGCATGGCAAATCCATCGGGTAGTGGCATTTCTGCCAGAAGCTCATCTGGCAGCGAAGCAGTCGAAGAAGAAAGAAAGGCTCGCGAAGCCCGATTGGCATCTTCCGGGATGCACTTGCTCTCGGCATCCTCGTTCTTCGCCCCCGCATCCTGCAGGGGCAAATTGCTCGTTTAAGCTATGAGTGCAGCGAACAGAATCAGAATCACAAATCATTTAAAGAATTGTCGCCTCCTGCTCGTCTTCTTCATCGAGTCTTGCCAAAAGCTCTTTGCAGGCCGCAGTAGCCGGATCTTCGTTGAGCTCTTCCCACTCGATGTCGCCCTGGGATGCTGTATATTTCAGTCCAGACAAAAGCAAGGCCCTCAACAATACTTATTTGGATAAGGCCTTGCCTCAGCCTGCTGTGCTTCCTCTTCTTTTTTGCTTTGATTCCTCTTTCTCTTCTCATCCTGCTCGTCCAGCTTCGCGAGAAGCTTGAGGATCTTTGGCTCGCCACATGCTGTGTTGACTGCATCCAGCGACAGCAATCTTCTGATCTTCTGATTTTTCGTTGTAGTCTTCGGCATCTGCACATCGCACTTCTGCAAAAGCTCGCTCAGCGATGCACTCGAGGTCTTCAGGATCTCTTGGCTTTGCACCAGGTAGCACAACAAATTGAACTCCTGGAACCCCCTCCGAAACAGGAGGCTTGAGCCGCACTTGTCCTCTAAGGCCTGCTCGCACACGTGCAAGCTGTAGCCGTACAAGGCCACCTTGAATCGACAAGCAAGCACAGGCACCAAGGAGCCAAGGCATTGGAAAAGAGGATTTGATGCCAAGGGGCCTCGTCATAGTCAAAGCGGAGCTGCTGGATCAAGGCCCTGCATCAGTTCATTAAACAAAAATTGAAGTCGAACTTCTATCCCTCGCAGCATGCAAACCCTGGCCCTACACAACCCTGAATCGCCTCCCAACGTCCAGAGCAAGGGCTGCAGTGCTCAGCCCTTGCAACAACGGGTCCCACCAATCATCTGTGTTTCTGCACGGAACCCTGGTCTCATCGCTTTGCTGCTCCGGCAAAGGGCCGGCAAACTTGTACGGGAGCTCCTTCAATCGCACAGCCTCAGGTGAGCATTGTTTCACGAGGCCCAACACATTTCATGTTCTAGATCGTGCTCCAAGCATAATTGATCTGAGCAACATACAGGACTGCCGGCGTCTTGCCGGTGCAAACGTAGAACTTGTTCTGGAGCTTGAACAACATTCCCGGAGCGAAACATCCTTGAACCCAAAACCCGGAGGACTCGTGAGCGGGCTCCTTCCCCTGCCTCAGGTTTGCATTCCGAAATCAACTTCCACACAAAAAAACGCCCCAAACCGGCCCGTGACTGCGTGCAACCGTGCGGCTCCTGGGCTTTGATGAAACCCTGCATCGTGTTCAAGCTAAGCTGGTTGTGGCAAAAGGCAGAGGTGCTGGGGAAGTTCTTCAGAATTCCATCTGCCGGCACATTCTTGCCTGAGAACTAAAACACAATGTGTCTCGATGTCGCAATAACAATCGCCAAAAACATGTTTGATTTGATGCTGGCAAGAAGCAAGTCGGGGCCGAAGTTGGCGAGAACACCTTTGGCTTGATCCCTGCAGCTTGAGGACCAACCCAGTCGTCCTTCGAAAGCTCCAAAGCACTCGGGCTGCCCTCCTTCTTGCATACTCGTCGAAACAAGCTGCGAACTGAGACAGCGTGCAAATTGGGGAGGGATCCACAATCAGCTCTCCCAGCTTGCTTGACTGCATGAGTCATCTCTCCGAACATGCTCTCGAGGGAGGCGCTTTGGCAGAAAGCCGGGGCAGATACCATTTCCTTGCTTTCGGTTGTCATCTTGTAGTTCTGCATTTCCAAGCAACCCATGGTTTCCCGGTAATGCTGGTATCTCGTGTGGTAGCAGCTCGTTGACAAAACCTCGGCCGATGCCTGCTTTGATTCCATCTTCAGCACAACCTGCCATTCTGCTTCCATCCTTTTCAGAATGCTTTGCTTTGTCTCGCCATCGTCTGCTTCTTTCGTAGATACGAGAGCCGCTGCACAGTGCGGGCTGCTTCGTAAATACAAGCTGTACTGCATCAGCTCGTGCACAGTCGCGAGGTAGAGCCCTAGACCCTCTTTGAAAATACTTTCGTAGGTGGCGGATCTTCGAAACTTCAGTCTCAGGACCTCCAACATAAGATATCTAATACACACTGAGGCACAACAAACTCAATAGTTACTGTGTTGCAGCAAGTGTATTGGTTTTGGAGGCTTGGGGTTTCGACTTTCAGACATTCTGGGACACGACGAAGCCGCATTGGTCGTCGGACTCAAGGCATGTGGGAGCCACCGGTGCAATCCATTAGTTATAATATATTTAAGACTAAGACTAAGAGCTTAAACCCAACCTTCTTTCCAGTTTGGTTGAAGGGGCTAGGGATGTCAATGTCGAAACAGCAGTGACAAGTGATTCTCAGACTAGGATCTACTTTAACACTTGCTCCGAACGAGCCTGCAATGCATCGGGGGCCGCCACATCTGGAATCATTGCCAGACTTCTGCTGCTCAAGGCCGTGGTGGCCAAATCACTGAGTTTCTTCTCTAGGCTGTGGCGGTTCATTTCCAAAGTGTAGTCGCGGTGGGCATTCATCGTGTTGGTGGTTTCTTGCTTAGTTGCGGTGGTCAGATGCATCTTTCTAGTTCACGGGATACTACTGCCATCATCTTAAGTTAAGAGCTCTCAGGCTGCAGGCGAGGCACAAGTTCCAAACACAGCTCCCGGAAGGGCTCCAGCACATTGCGGGCCACACGGAAGATCCCGAAGCTCTCCTCATTCGTGAGCGCCTGGAGGGTTGGAGGATTGAGTTTAGGGTTTGTAGGGACAATTCAGTCAAGGATTGCATTTGTCGATTGACACAGACGGGAAGGCCTTCACACACAGATCGACGACTTTGTCGTAGGACTTTTGGTTCTGCGGGGCGGAGGCTTCAGTCTCCAAGATCTTGAAGGGATTCTTGCCGACCTCACGAGATCAAGTTATTTACATAAGCTCATAATGATGATCTCAGATGCAGCAACAGTAGACATGGATTAGGACTCGGGGCCTCCATAGCCGACCACAGGATAAGGAGCAGGGTCGCACTCATTTGAAATCTTTTCGAGGTGTGAGCCCAGGAGCACCATCTCGACCACGAAAATGTCTCGGCATTAAACCTTGCAACAACAATACTAATCAGTGGTCGCACGACAGCAATCGACACTATCTGAATTCTATGCATCCAAAAGAGTTGCATGTTTTGCCCAGGATATCCATCACCCTCGTGAAGTTCAGCTGGCGGTCCGGGGTCTCCTCCATATTGTTCCTGGGCTAGCAATGGTTCAGGCAAACAAGCAAAGGCGTCAGTATTAATATAGGGATAAGACAAGCATCTCTTTGAGTATGTCCCGCTGGAACATTTCCATGAGCACATCGTCGGGTGTGGCCTTTGTTTGTGTTGGGTTGCAGGAACTACAAAGAAACTGACACATTTCAGAATACAGGCAAGGCAATGCACTTACTTATGCAGCGAAGTTGCAACTTCAAGATATCGGGATCCAGCTTCGGCGAGGGTGCAGCCAAATCCGGAAGTATTCCAGGGAGACTTCCTGGCCCTGAAGAGCCAGCCACATAAAGTAGTCATTCCCGGGTCAGAATGCTGAATGGCATCACAAGCAACGATCCTGTGTAATGTTGCAGCTGAAGCTCGCTTCACTGCGGGAGAACAGGAGGTCACCCTTCCCTGGTGTGCGTGGAGTTTGTGCCTAAGTTGGCAATACCCGAATGTTCAGTGCTCTCTCATTTTATTGCAAGAGCCAGTAAATAAATGCAAGCAAGCAACAGCTCGTCTCTCACCAAAGAGACAGCGGCTCCGAGGTGAGCCAGGTACTGGTAGCAGCAAAACATCGGTCCTCCTTGGTCGGGACATACCACTAATCGCAGGTGGTCGGTGTGCAAGGGGACGTCCCATCGGCTCGCCCCGGTCTCGCGGTCGAACAGAAAGGGCATAGCGGCGGATTTCGGCTTGTAAAGCTCGCGGGTTTCCGTCTCTTTCGCAGGGGCCAGCGGGTGCGTCGGGAAGAGGTCGTCCAAACTGATGTTGACGTGTGAGAGCACATTCCCGAGGGCTTTCAGTTCTTGCCGGCTGCTCAACCGTTCCGATCGGATGCTGTTCAAAGCCTTCGGCCTGAATTCGTTTTGGAATCCTTTGAATCGACAACTGAAACCGAGCACAAGCTATAGCGGGCCGAGCTGCAACTTCTTTTTCAGTTCAGCCTTCTTGGAATCGGAAAGGAGGGTGCTGCTTCGGGAGTCTGCAACCATTGCAGCCACTTGTAGCTTTTCTTCGGCTGTGGCATTTGAAGGAAGGAGCGTGGAGAGCCGCTGCAAAGTCCCCACCGAGACCAAACCGGGGATAGCCAGGACTGGAAGCCAAACCTGTTAATTAGTTGTTCTGATCACCACAAACAGAAAAGGGATGATTCACAATCGAAAGTCCAACTTAGGCCGGAGAGCATCCATCTTAGCCTTTGGTGAGGCATCACATAGTATTGCCACAGACTTGATCCCCATGTTGCCGAGGGCCTCTGGGATGGGCACATGTTAGCTTAGCCTCTGTTTGCAAGAACCTGCCTGCTTGATGGCGAGCTCGGCTTTGCGTGTGTATCTACACATGAAATCCGATGTTGTCCTGCAGAGTGCACAGTAGCAAGGCTCGCCAACCTAAGTCCGTGGCTTTGGGGCATGGCTGTGTATGTGCAGGGTCCTCGAATAGTGGCTCGGGCACATAGACTCAAGGCCCACGTCTTTCAGTGGAACTCGTGATCAGCTTGCATCGGAGGCATTTCTGTCGTCGCGACGTTGCCCATCTGATTCTCTGCTGCTTGGCACAACAGATGAAGCAATCTCATCTGCAGCCTTGCACAAGCATTTCCGTCCTGAAGAGGCGACAATAATTCAGAGCCCAAGGTTTTGGTGGGGATTTATGCATTTAGTTTTCATTTCTGATCGTCATGTATCTCACGATGATTACTATCCTTGTGCTTTGTCGATAACTATTGATTACGTATTGTTTACTAAGATCTATTTCTAGTAGGAAATACAACACCCTTGATAGTATTCTTGTCATAAGGATCAATAGTACTTGAACTAATATTAATATTATCATTCACACTAAGTTAATATCAGCAACCCATTAATTAGTCGGAATATTATCAGTTCTATTACCATGAATGTTTGTTCTATTAATGTTTTCAATGTAGAAAGTGTGCTTTGTTCTTAGTAATCAGTATTGTTACTAACATATCCTTAGTGTTGCTGTTAGGGTTATTAGTAGTAACTCCGGCTTATTATTATTATTATTATTATTAGTATTATTATTATTATTAATATTATTATTATTAATATTATTTGAGATCGAGGGAAGCAGGACCTGTCATTATGTCGACGAATCAGCGCCCAGACTCGACGATTTGAACTATGCTTGTAGGCTACTCTTTTCATATTCAACTATTGTTGTTGTATATTTAGGAGTGAAGAAAACATTTTTGGGGTTGTGTTTTGAAGCACCTCCTGATGATGTAGCCGAAGAATAAACCAGGTGGCAGTTGCCAGAGGGATGCCTGGGCAGGGAAAGTAGTTGTTAATTAAATATAAATAGGACAGGTTCCGAAACCGTCAGCCTGTATCAACACGTTGCTCTTCCTTCGCCAGGAGTTTGCAACTTTGCCACCTGCAGGCAGACATCAGACTCGAGATTATGGCATCTTGGAAACGTACAAGCCAAACTTCAAAAGCCTCTGTTGCAAGCCAGCGAAGTCCAGGAAGTTTCGCCAGCTTTCCAAACTCACACATCCCCGGGATATCTTCAGGCAGCCTCGGTTTGTGAATGCATCCCACCAGCACAAACAAAACAGCCAAGGAGGCAAGGGACACCGCTGGATGCCCGGAAGAAGAGAGATGCTCAGCGGCTCGGTGATGCAAGCGGAAATCAAAGCTGTGAGGCATTGCAGAGCGGATCGCTGAATCACAGGTTTGCATCCTCGCGATTGCAGCACGTAGGAGACCTGAGTAATTCCCGACACACCCCATTGCGACCTGAAGTACTTCGCTATGCAAAACCGAATGAATGCTTTCAGGGCACCAGAAATATGGTGCCGGGGAGAGTGACCCCGTCGAAAGGCAGCTTCAGTCTGCCGGCGTCGACCCTTCCCCCAGAGCCCTGGTAGGAAGCTTTCCTGATTATGTGAACGGCCAGGTCCACATGCCAAGCCTCGGCAATGTCGAGGCCGAGCCCGTCTTGCCTGGCACTCTGGATTCTTGCCATGAAATTGAACCTTGAAAGCTTCTGGGACCGGTGCAGTCGAGCGGCAATTTTGTGCACCAGTTCGTGAAATGTTGCGATCGCTTGGTCATAGCCCACAGCTCCTCCGCCCTGAGGAGATATCTGTAGCCCTGCAACTGGTTTTCCGCTGAAACCTCAGAAACATGTTCCAGAGACACAATTTTCGGGTGGAACCAAGGCCCCACTTACACTACATTCTAGATACAACAGCTAACCCCACCTGCCTTGTGCACTTGGAGGACCCCTCGCAGGGGCCTGTCCAATCTAAGGTACTCAATCTCCGTGGGGGTGTAGTCGCACCCGGGGCTCGGCGTCTCCGAGCTTGCATCATCCTGAATAATCTGTTCTTCGCTCCGTCGTCGTTGGAGCTGATCAAAGAGTCTCAACCGCAATGGCACCAGATGCTGTGCAGCTTCTGTTCGCTGCTTCCAAATGGCGTCCTGTTTCAGAACTTATTAGATTTCGAGTCTTGAGAGAGAGACAGACCGTAAGACAGGCTCAGCTTGTGATGGAAAATGCGACAGAGGGGTGGAGAGAGAGAGAGAGGGAGAGAGAGAGAGAGAGAGAGAACAGGAGAGATGGAGATGGTGAGCGAGAAAGAAAGAGAGAGAGAGAGAGAGAGAGAGAGAGAGAGAGAGAGAGAGAGAGAGAGAGAGAGAGAGAGAGAGAGAGAGAGAGAGAGAGAGAGAGAGAGAGAGAGAGAGAGAGAGAGAGAGAGAGAGAGAGAGAGAGAGGAGGAGACAGGCGGAGCCAGAGAGAGGGAAAGGGAGAGAGAGAGAGAGAGAGGGAGCGAGAGTCTGTGAGAGATCTACAGCACAAGGGATACAGACAATGACATACCTATACATGGCATGGCGACATTCCGATTGGCAGGGGCATCTTGACTGGCGTCCATAACAAACGAGTAACACGGCTAGGTGACTGCCTAAGCGGATGGATTGAGACCTAAAGATCCTGTATTGTTTTATATTCAATAGAAAGCTCTAGTTCTCCAGCTGCTCGTTTCTGATGTGTTCCCCTTTCCCTCTTCTGGCAAAGCATGCTAAAACATGCTCACACCTGATACATTCTCGTCTCGTGCATACACACACACACACACACACACACTTTGCTATTCTCTCTTAAGCTGTTTTCGGTCATTCCCGACTACGACTCAAGACCCACAATGAGCTGTAATTGTTGGCTCCTTGTTTCTACACACCTTTTCTCCCTCTCTCTCTCTCTCTCTCTCTCTCTCTCTCTCTCTCTCTCTCTCTCTCTCTCTCTCTCTCTCTCTCTCTCTCTCTCTCTCTCTCTCTCTCTCTCTCTCTCTCTCTCTCTCTCTCTCTCTCTCTCGCTCTCTCTTCCCTGTTGTAGGGCAGCTCAGCACAGGACACTCAGCAAGCTTAAGTGCAAGTGCTAGTCCTCCCACGAAGCCTTGTCGACATCGAGTTCGCCGATGGGTTTTCCTTCTTGAAGATGCACATCCACAATGATAATCTTATGCTGCAGTTTCGACTGCAATTCCTCCCGCACAGAAGGATCTTCACACCTCGGATGGCGGGGCCAGTGCCTAGTCTGATTCGGTGCTCCAGAACGAGCGAGCACGGTGCTTGCCCAGTAACTCGGAGAGCTGCTTGAGCCTCTCCCGTAGCCAGTGTATCGCGGCCATTGAGCCGTTGCTCGTCCTGGGTCGTTGGCGTTGGCGAGAGTGCTCGCTCAGGTTAGGGTGGTGGCTCAGCGGTCGCGGTGCGGCAGGGTGCGGGACAATAATGTCGAGCGAGCACGCATTCTTTTAAATCCTAGCCTGTCGAGCAAGCACGTTGGATGCCTGGACGTTTTTGCATTTAGCGGCCGTGTGTGGGGTTTAGTAGAACAGGGTGCTCGCTCGCAGTTCTGCGCCGGAACCGTGCGACACCGTGTCGGCAAAATCTTCCCGAGCGAGCACGTTGCGGGCGAGCGAGCACGTTGTGTGTGAGCGAGCACGTTGCAGTTGAGCGAGCACGTTGTGTGCGAGCGAGCACGTTGCACTGCAGCGACAAGCGAAACACCGGCCCAAATCGCCGAAAACCTCCAATTGCCTTCTAAACTTCTCTTGCAGCACATTCTGGTTTCCGGACTCCCCCGGCTCCGACCCCCTCCCGGCATTGAATTCCAAGGCGAGGCTCTCCAGTGGATCGGCTGCGATCCACCAGGACCAGGAGCAGGTGCCAATCGGCCGGGCAAAGGCTGCATCTAATCTAGACTAGTCATGGAGGCTTTTCTTGGCAGGGTGCAGAAGTATAGCATAAGCCACTATTCTAGAATACTGACTCATTGTCGGTTGCAGACTAGTCGGGGAGGCCTCAGAAACCCCAGAGAGTCGGCCCATCTCCCAAAGCGATTCTTTATATTAGTTAGTTAGTTTGTGCCCGCCTAATTCTTTATTATTTAAGTTTCACTAACTAACTAACTAACTAACTGACTAGCTAACTAGCTAACTATTACAAATGTGATAGCTATCTAACCAGCTAACTACTTGACTATTTATTTACTAAACAAGTAGTTGGGCGGCAAACTTCGGGGACTTAAGCAGTCGTGGTCCCTAGGATCTCCGGGTGCTTGGGGTTGTGGGTGTCGCACTAGGATACTAAACTTCGGGACCTTAGCAGTCGTGATCCCAAGGCTCTCTGGGTGCTTTGGGTTTTGGGTGTCGCAGTAGGTGAAGGACGAGACTGTGGTTGAAAGCTTTGCGATATTGCCCTCGGTGCATTCTGCAAAGCCAAAGCTTTAAGAATCGAATCGAGAATGACACACATGTCTGTGCAAGTCTCACAGCTCAAGAATGGCACAGCAGCAACAGTCTCGGGGAATCGAATCTGCGACCTTTGCTTGTTTGTTTTATGCCTCCGCCCCAGCACATGTGCAAGTATTGGACAGGCCACTCTCGCTGCTCCTGCTCAAAATTCCGAGAAGAACACCTTAGCCTATTATCCAACCAAGATTTAACACCCCTAAAACCCTAAGGACGTCTAGTCTGGGTAATAGCACGACCATTCCTAGCCTTTTGCTTACAATGTTCCGTCAGGAAAGTCAAGAATCAATTGCAAGCACGAAGCAGCCAAGCAGTAAAAGATTCTAGTCTAGTGAAGTTCTCTACTACTAGTCACTAGTCTAGACTAACTCGTCCCGGCCTGGGTTATAGAGCCCCGGTAGCGGAAGCAGCAGCCTCAAAATTCCATCAGAAACAAGCCCTCGGCCTCAGGTGTGCTTGGAATTCGTGATGGCTGGCCGGCGGCTGGGAGTCACGAAGGCCTCGCGGATGCAAAGCTTCACCGTATAGCTTGGGTTCCGTGCACATCAGTATGTTCAGTAGAACGAAGAATTTCAGACAAGTAGCTTCGCCAGACACAATGGATTGGCACCAAGCATCCAACACAGATTTGGCTTTCATCGACATCTTGTTGTAGTAGCACTTGCCCACATTCAGATTCTGCGACAGTGTGCCTGGATTAACAAGGAGAGTGCACATTTGCGATATAGGCAGGAGCTGCGGTCGTGGGAAGTCAACAACACACACTCATTGAATAGTGCAGCAAGTTGCCGGGC